TGGTCAGGGCATAAAGCTGTCTTCCTCCCTCAGTTCATACCATGTCACACTCCCAGTCTCTCGCCTGGACATGGTCAGGGCATAAAGCTGTCTTCTGATTGCTTGCTGTTCCCATGGCTTCTTCACCACCCATCTCCCTGCACGTGGGCTCTCACATGGCTTTAGGGTGGCTGTTTGGAGAGCAGGAGGAATTTTCTTCCATTATTTCTGTGGACAAACACTGTCCATTCCTTTCAAAGAAACGCAAGCTTGACTGATGTCCTATATGTACGGCAGAGCCTGTCCCCACAATAAACATTTAAGGCTAAACCAAGAAGAGTGACCACCAAGTGATGGGAATTACCGTTAAGCTCCCCGAATGGAGGGGATGAGTGAATACCACCTCTATACTATTTGTTCAGCACCTGATGGTTTACAAAGTGCTTTCACTGATCTGATTTGATCTTCACAAGAACCCCAGAGAGGGGGACAGGGCATGGATTGTGGGGATTATGAAAGCCGCACTTGTTGTTGTTCTTTAAAGGCTTAAGCGACACTGGAGAGAGGTCAGAGGGTTTGGGGACTGAACCTCAGGTCTCTCAATCATTCATGCAGGCACATATTTAAAAGGCATTTATCCGAGCCTGCGACAAGCCCGATGAGATGGCAGCGCAGAACAAAGATGACTAAAACGCCGTCCCTGCAGGAGGATCAGGTTCTAGCCAGATGTAAACAAGCCCCTACCTGGCAAGGGCGGGAGGGCTCCCGGGGCCCGTGCGGGCCGGGCCGGGGCCCGCGGCTCCACCGCGCCAGCCCGAGCCCAGCCCGGCTGTCATTCGCTAGCTCGGCTCCCCGGGGCGAGCGAGAGGAGGGGGCTCGGCCACGTGATCGGGGAGGGGGGGTCTGCCTCTGCCGGGGATCCCTCCCGGAGCTGCGGTGGCCGGCGGTCTCCGCGAGGCCTTGCCCTTATCCACACAAGCCAGGCGGGGGGGGGGGCGCCTTGGGGGGGGCATCGTCCCCACGCCCTTCGAGGGCGGTCCCGCGGCCGGCCTCCGCCGTGGTCCCCCGCGCTCGCGACGGCGCGGGCCTCGGCTCCCTCCCTCCCGCGCGTCGTGCGGTTTCCACGAACACGTTTCACACGCGTGTCCAGTTCCACCACGGACGCCAGCGCGAGGCTGCGGGGCTGGTGCCAGGCCCGGAGCCCGCACGTGTGCGCCAAGCCGGCCCCACGCAGACCCCGGGGCGGCGGGGGCCTCCCGCCTCTCCAATCACCCGCTCGACGGCGAACCCCGCCCGACGGTGCGGGCCGGGGCCCAGATCTTGGGGGCGCGGGCTTGGTCAGGAGACGCAGCTTTTTTAGGGGGTGGGATATGGGGGTGCCAAGTTCTCAGGGAACTTTGCTACTTGAGCCGCGCAGCCCTGCAGTGCCGAGGGCGCGGGCTGCGGCCCGGAGAGCGCGCTGCCCCCTCCCCGCCGTTGTTTCTCGGGTATATTTTTTTCAAATTCTGAAGAGAGAGAGGGAAAAAAAGCGCGCGGTGCCTGCAGTGGAGCGTGCGCGGCCTGCAGAGGCGCCCTCGCCGCCGCCGCCCGCGTCCCCGCCGCCGCCGCCGCCCCCGCCCGGCCCGGCCCGGCCCGGCCCGGCCTCGAGCCAGCTTCCCGCCCACCTGCCACCTGACGCGCGCCCGGGCCCCTGGCAGCGTGGGGGCCACGCGCGAGCCTCGAGGCTCGGATCGCTCGGCCTGCTTGGCCCAAAGCCTGAACTAACTCAGGGAAAAGGAAACGGGGCGCCCCGAGAACGCCCCGAGAGAGGGCGGGGCGCTCCCGCTCCGGGACAGGGGCCGGGGCCGGGGCAGGGAGCGCCCGCGCCCGGAACGTTGCACGCAAAGCCTAGGCGCGTCGCAGGGGGGCACCCGCGAGGGACGGACAGGAAGAGGGCCAGGGGGGAACGCCAGAACCCGGGACCTCAGCGCGGAAACGGCCCGGGGCTGGGCTGCCCTCAGATCCGGGGATGGAGGGAGCCGGAGCCGAGGAGTGAGGAGGCCGGCGGGCCTCGCCGACCCCCCCGGGAGGCGGCGGCCCGCCGCCAGTGGAGGACCAGGCCACTCAGGAAAGAAAGGGGTCAGGAGGTCGGGCCGAGCGTCCCAGGCTCAGCCCCTGCGCCAGGGAGCCGCAGGCGCCGGCCGGCCAGGGCCCGGCCTGGTGCTCTTGTCCGAAGCTCAACTGGAGTAGGGAAAGTGACCGCGAGCCAGCCACCAGGGCCCGGCCCACACGCCCACAGCCACGTTAGGGCTAGGGGCCAAGACCTTTAGGGGTCTCAGGGTTTAAGAAGGGCAGGGGGCTTCAGGCGCTCCCAGCTCCCGACCGGCGATTGGCGCCTTAAACGCTTGTAGATCCGAGGTTGGATTGGGGTGGGGTCTCTGGGACGGCGGATTGCCACGCCTGGATTGGGGGATTAAGCGCTTAGAGATCGAAATCAGGTCTTGGGTAGGGGGACTCAGACAATTGGAAAGCCTAGGTGGTTATTTGGGGAGGGGTCTTTGCGCTTTGGAGGAGCGCAAAGCTGCGCCTGTTGGGTTTTGAGGCCTGGGGCCTCGTCGAGAGAGGCATCTGTGAAAGGGGGAACCAGCTAGGCCAGACTAAGAAAGAAAGTGAATACAGCAGGAATCTAGGGGGGGGGACCCTAAGAGGGGGGTCACACAGGTTGAGACATGGCCACCAGGCGTTTAACCGACGCTTTCTTGTTGTTGCGGAATAATTCCATCCAAAACCGGCAGCTGTTAGCCGAGCAAGTGAGTAGTCACACCACCTCCAGCCCTCTGCATTCACGTAGCCTTGCCGCGGTGAGTCTCCTGACCCTCGTCGACACACGCACGGTGTGCACTGCGGCTCTGCCTGTCTGTCTGTCTGTCTGTCTCTCTGTTTGAAAAGAAAAGAAGAAAAAAGAAGATAAGAGTAATAAGACAAATAGAGAAGTGCGAGATCCCTTTTCTGGGGTCAAGGGGCAACCCATAAACCTGGTTGGGGAACACAGTTACCAATCCCCCCACAGCCCCACCCCTGCCTGGCCCTGTCTGCCCACTTCCGAGTGCCTCCTCCTCCTGGCGTCGTCACAGCCCGACGGCCTGCTTCACTTTACATATGTCTTAACACTAGGATTTGGAAGCACGGGGCCTTTCTAGAACCTTCTTTTTGTCTAGTTTTGTTTTAAGCTTCCCTCCCCTCCCCAGTAGTGGGCCTCACGTTGGTCCTGATGGCCAGGTGGCAGGATCTCAGACTCAAATCCTCCCAAGTGAACCACTCCCACCTCCAAAGAGGAAGGAGTTGTGTTTGTGTGTGTGTGTGTGTGTGTGTGTTTTCACACTCGTTTTCGTTTAATGACTTCAATCCTCTGTGTAGCCATGTTCCCCATGAATAATTGCTTCACTGGTTTTCTTTGGGGCTCAGTGTTTGTGACACTGGAAGGTGCTAGGCCCTTGTTTTTCATTTCCCAGACAGGAAATGAAGCTTTCCCTCCATTCGAACTTAAAAACCAAACCAAAAACAAAAAACCATGATGCGCATGTGAGAATTAAACCTCCAAAATAGCACATGGGTTTTTTGATTTTATTGACTAGAACCTTCACACTTATCCAAGCAGTAGAGCTATGGGCTTTTTGTTTGTTTTGTTGTTGTTTATTTTTTTTCTTTTTAAAAGCAAGGCCCCAGAAAGATTGCTGGGTTTGGCTTGGTTTTGGTGGGGGCAAACTTTTAGAGCCTCAGTTTACTATTCAGTGAGATGTGGGAGCCAATGTCATTAGCTCTGTAATGTCTTTAATTGAAAAGTGGAGTTAGAAAACTGGTAGTAGGGGGCTTCCTGCTGTGGACAGACTGGTTGTAAATGAAAGCTTTGGAGCTCCAGGGAATGGATGGCGACCCTAGGACCTGGTTCTTGGGGATTATGCCTGAGATGTACTGGTTTTGAAATCCCACAATGGTTTCATCTTTTAAGGACCATCATGGCCATTTGATTTTTTTCTTCTTTATCGTGTTTCTCGGTGCTAATGGAAAATCGTGCCATGTGTTGTGATCATAGTAGACATGCTCACCGATCGGTTTTTCCTTTTTTTAAGCCACTGTGGAAAATATCTTTGGCCATATTTCTTACAGAAAAGCAATTTAAAGCGGTGAGAGCAGTTTTAGGAATAAAAAGATGTAGTCTCTCCTGGAAGCAAAGAAACCGAGGATGAATGAAGTGTGTTGGGGTTTTTATTTGCATAAGAATTTGAAGAATTTTTACATTTATAAACAGAAAGAAGTATTAAATACAGAAACAAATGGAAAGGTGTCTGTTAACACGGAACCGGAACCGGGCAGATTCTAGCGCTAATTTTGAAAAGTGTGCCCTGAAATAAGCCAGGAAATAAGAGAGTAGAAACTGAGTGAATAAAATCCTCAGTGAATCTTTAGTTATGTTAAATAAGAACGAGTTGTTCCTTAAATGACTGGATTTTATGCTACCTTTGGGGGGAAAAAAACAGAACTAAAACCCGCGCCAATGCATCTGGGGGCTCAGTTTTAATTAACTGAAAAAGATACTGTTTGGTTTTAAATTTTTAATTGTGTAGGGCTCAGCACCCTCTGAACCTTTGGGTAACCTGAGGGGAAAATTATTTCAGACAGTTTTAAAACCTGGTGGAGACGGGAGGCTTTCAAAAGCACATCTTGAAACTGATTTTTAAGATGGTTTTGTAAAGCAGGCAATTTATACAAAAACATAAGGTATATGAGATGTGAGATAATTAAGTGGATCACTGTTGTTTACAAAGTAGATTTATAAATTTATGTATCACTGTAGTTTATAAAGTAGATGTATCAGGAAATGTACAGATCTATTTAGCTCATATATATTTAGCTAATTCACACAGATTCTTGAAAGTAGATTTCTAAATCTGACTAAAACACATATCTAAGATAGAACATTAAAAATATTTTTAAATGCCATACTGTTGAAAACATTACATGCTTATATTAGCCTATGCATTTGAAATCACTTTACTGAAAACAATCAGATCACTGAAAATCCTCGCAGTCAATTCAGACTGCCTAAAAAATAGATTGTACAGTCAAAATAACAAATAGATTCCTAGGTTAGAATTTAAAAATAAAACATTTGTGCATTGTAATTGTGAACATTAAAAAATACATTGTTTGCTATATATTTCTGAAGTGTTTAGTGGTGGAGGTTAATATCTTTGGTTTATTTAGAAGTGATCACAGAAACTATTTCTGTACACACAGAATCGAGGACGGCAAGATATTAACATGAGTGCATGGTTTTTTAACTCTTGGAATTAGCAAAGTACTGTAAATTTTTTTTTTGGAAAAGACATTTAACACATTAAAAGAAAACTATATTGAGTTAACATATAATGTTTCTTACTGCTTATTTAGCCCAGAAAATATTTTAAACCTTATTTCTGTCTTGTAAATTTTAAAGTCATGTAGCAAATCACAAGTATATGTCAGATTTTAATATGGACTAGCCATTAGGTGGTATTAGGCAGTTATTAAACTAATTATAATTAAATTTGGTAATTTTATTACAGATGTCTACTGAATTGTTCAGCGTGAAATGCCAAGACAGCTGTTTTGGGTCTTAATACTCCTTAAGAAAAGAGAAAGCAAATGAGACAAAATATAAATAATGTTAATTCTAGTTGGTAAATAGATCTGTACCATTTTACACATTTTTCTATTTTTGTTCATATGTGCAGGGACACTGTCATTTTATACATTTTTCTAGAGGTTTGAAAAATTATAAATAAAAACTTAAATACATTTGACATAGTAAAATAAGACAATTAAAAAGAGACAATTTATAAATATATATTTAAACTTGGGTATTTTGAAAAGAGGTGAACAGACCTAAGAATTTAACTTAAAATTAACAAAATTATTCCTAGGAATTTTAAGTTCCTCATTAGAAGAAAAACAATAGAAATTGATTTTAGTATATTTGTGATTTCATGCAAAATTAAAAATAAATACCTAAAATAGAAGATTTTTTTTAAATTGTAGCTTTGTATTTTCATATTTTATTTGAGGAGAAGCTGCAGAAATTGATTGTGAATTGCCGTGTCAGGGTGTATGGCTCATGCGTCTCAAGCAAAGCACACCTAAAGGTTTATCTTTTTTTTAAAAAAAAATTAAGGCTGTATTTTTTTTTAATACTACTTTGAAGAAAAACTAGATGTTCTTTGGTGGTAGGGTTATTGCAGGTACCCGCATGGATGGCAACAGATTGTGGCGGCACTAGTAAATCCACCCGGGAATTTTAAAACAGCAATTTAAGTATCTGCCGAGGCCAAAGAAACAAAGGAATAGACCTCAGCAGCCTGAGGGGACCTAAAGGTCATTTGACCCAGTGGCCCTGTTTGTGACAGCCCTTAGGTTTTCCTTGCTGGACACCGTGTAACCTGAGAGGAGGGATCCTGCAGTGGGCACTCCGTACCTTTTACTACCAAGTCTTTTTTGTGTGTTGATCCTAGTGGGGTCAATGTCTGCCCTCTGGGGACCTGGTCCCTGTTCTGTTCCTGAGGGTCCGTGCAGAGGAAGCCTCTTGCTGTGGCTTGATGACCCAGTTTTTTCTAGGCTCAGCAATCCCGGCTCGGACGCACAGTTAAGTTTCTTCTCTATGAATAATGTCTAATTTTTCTGAATCCTTTTTAAACCTCAACAGGCAGAAGTAAACAAAGCTCTACATATTTGTGATTTTTGTTATATTAATGCTAGCAAAATTAATTGTTAAAAACAGACTGAAGTTTGATTTTAGTCAAACTTGGAGCAGAAGGCACTGCTAATTCCATGGCACTGTTTTGCCCTTGGTTTTGGGAGCCACTACATTTATCCCTGAGGGCAGTGTGACTAAGGAAAGAACATCTGTCTGCTGGTGAGGGAATTTAGGATAAGTTCCACTCGGTGTAGGACTTAATCTTTTTAGACATCTTATGTCTTATTTGTAAATTGAGGATTTTGAGTTTGGTGATGTCTGATGTTTCTTCAAATTCTGTTTTTATATGCACTGACCGGAGTGCCCAGCCTCAGCTTTCATTTGAAAATAAGAAATCCAAGTCAACCACAGTACGGTGCCTGTCAGTCCGGCATTACTGGCAGGAATACTTACCAGTTGCCCCAGTACTGGGCAGAAGCAACTTTGCCATCTTCCCGGCCAGGTGCTGGCTTTGTGGCAGTACCCCATTCAAGCAGTTTGATTTCAGGAAGCTGAAGAGGATTTATAAAGTCAAATAATCTTTTTTTTTTTAATTTTTTAAGTGTGAAGTATTAATGAATGGCAAGCAGAAGTTGAGTTGCTGTTCTGATCCAGTATGGTACTGATAGATTTGTGTTTCTTTTGATTCTTGGAATGAATCTAATACAGGGGCTGGAGCACTTTGTTAGTGTTTACTGGCTAATCCATACTCTGCTTTCAAATAATGCATAATCTATATGTGGAAGCTAGAGGTAATTGGTCTTAGATTAGTTTGAAACTAGCACTTTTTTTTTAATAAAACCTGTGCTTTAGGGAAAAAAACAATTAAGGATTAACTGTGGTTCCAGGGTTCCTTGTTCAGTCTTGACCACAGTGTATTGAACTTACTCTGTGCCTGTCACCGGGCCGAACCCTTTCGTAGGTGTGCCGAATTAAATAAAATTAATTGTTCAAAACAGACTGAGATTTGATTTTAGTCTTTGAGCAAATAGGTGCTCAAAACAGATAAAGAAAGCAGGGAGTGGAAGAATTGGGATGGGCCCAGGGTCCCCACCTCATGAGTGAGAGGCTGCGGGGAGACCTGGCGTAGACTAGAACCCTTTGTCCACTCCTGGGCTACACTGTGCTGGCTGTTTTCTAGAACTTGGGCTGCAGATTCTGGAAAGTGGGAGAATTTACTGTTTAAATACTTTTTGGAGTGGGAAAGATCCTTTCTGAATCTTGCTTTACAACCTCCCCTAGTCAGTTTTAACATACATATCAAAGGTTCTCAGTTCTAGTCCAGGCTGAGTCTGTTGGAAAATCAGGTCTTTAGAATCCAAGTATGAAATCATTGTATGTTTCCCTTTAGATTTATTTGCTTTTCTACTTGTAAAGATTCCATCTGAGCAGGGAGGCTTGCTTGAGAATAAGGGTACTTTGTTGGATAAAAGTGAAGCAAACTTTTATTTTGGCAGTAATGGAAATGAGGTAAATATCACGATAGCACAGACCTGTATTTTCAACTCATTTTGCTCAACTTTTCCAGACTTCCTGAGTAAACACAGATGGGTTTCCACTCATTTTTCAGTTTTAATGTAGAAAGTTCTTTAGACTGCAAATTCCACATGCTGCTTGGAGTTAGCTTGGTTGGTTGTATGCCATTGGCAGGTCAAACCCTAGATTTAGACATTGTAAAGATTTAGAAGGTGGCGATGTGTAGCAACAGGTTTTAATGTTTGAGTTCAGGTCTTGACTAAATTTCCTGGTAATTTCGTGGCAGATGGAGTTTTGAAAGCTTTTCTTTTTTGGGGGGGGATAAGGGAGGGTGTTTTTGGAAAGATGGTCTTCTAAATTTAATTCCTGGTGCTGTGGTGTGGAGGCTGCCTATTACCAACTAATTCCCTGATTGTTAATGAAATTAGAGTGGCTAAGGGTAGGATGGAAGGAGGCCTGGTCACCGGGAGCTGTCCCCAGCCCAGCCTTCAGCACGCTCTGTAACTTCAGGCAATGCATCCACACATTTTGAATCTCAGTTTTCTTATTTGTAAGAAAAAAGTTTGCTCCTATTCCTGAATCTCATGATTGCAATTTTGCCTCTTATCATCTCATAATTGTAGAAATCAAAAGGTTGGGATGTGTGTGCCAGGCTAATAACCCAACAGCACAGGTTTTTTGCCTGTAGATTGTGATGACAGTACTCAGAGATGGTGTGCTAGGGAGCCGGTGGGGACGGAACAGGTTCCATGCCTCGCTTGGGGGTTTTGCCTTGCATCTGGCTTCATTGATCGGAGCATTTCTGGAAGTACCTGGCTTTTAAAAAATGCACACACTTTTCCTTTTTAAAGTAAAAAAGGAACTGAGATAGGAGCTCCATTGATACTGTCTTCTCTCCCACTATTTCTCAAAGCCCTGTCACAGCAGCAGTGTGTACAAGCTCATTTCTCCTTTGCGCTCTGGGCACATCGTAGGAGTGAAGAGGGTTTTCTGCTTTTTCTGTAATGCTACCCGAGAGAAGTTTTGCATGAAAAAGTGTTTGATTTCATTTATTGCTATCATTGTGTAATGATAATTTACTCTGATGGACCAGCTTCATTTGCACCATTAATTTTTAGATAAAGTTATGTTTTCTATTTTCTGAATTTACTGCTAGACATTAAAAAAATCAACACAGTTGATTATTGAAATTCACCACTAATTATTTCCATGATCAATACTGTGGGGGGAAAAAAGGCCTAGTTGTGTAGATTATCTGTCATTAGTAACTGTCTGATCGGAAGATAGAATTACAAGTTGATCTAAGAAAGAATCTTTAGTTTTAAATTGGAACTTACTCTGGTGCCTACCACTCCCTCGCCTTCCCCGCAAAGGTTTCTTTCCTCCCATTTTGTCTTGTCTGGCCTTGCTGGCCTGTTGAATAACACCTTGTAAACCATGCTTTCTAGATTAATAACAATACATGCCTGGTAAATGATAAGTTCTTCTCTTTTCCCACCTGTGTGTCTCTCAGCGAGATGGCTTTCTCAGCCCTCCATTACCACGGTTAAAGCTATGTCTGTGAGGTTTAATGTATATATGTTCACTCTAATATCTGAATGTAGCTCTAGACAATTTGGTGGTTGTTTCTTAATTTTGTGGTTTGCATAGGTGATTTATGTACTAAAATATGCATGGATTCTAAACATTGCATTTTCACTTTTTTCTTCCTAAGGAAATTTAGAATATGATATTTTAACTTTTATTCTAATTTTGTAAGGAAATTTATAATGTGATGTGTTATATTTGTGAAGCAGATTAGCGGTATATTTTAATGAGCCAAAGCAAGAATGTTTTGTTTCCATTTTTACAACTATTTATTGTTTCTAGCCTCACTCACAAGAATAATTTCAGTAAATGAAAATCAAAACATAAACTGATAGAGCTTTCTTTCTTCCTTCCTTCCTTCCTTCCTTCCTTCCTTCCTTCCTTCCTTCCTTCCTTTCTTTCTTTCTTTCTTTCTTTCTTTCTGAAAGGAAGCTCAGAGGGGATTTTGTAAATACCTTGGCTAGTGGATATTTACTTTTATAGTCAATTTGTTTTATAGTCAACTTGTTTAACATCTGTTTTCTTACCTGATGGTACCTTGTCTGTCTGCCCCATGCTTTTCTTCCTGCTCTCCCTACCTGGATGGGCCGGCTGGCAACAACGCGTCTGCAGGAGCTGGATGAGGTACAGTGTTTTGGATATCTTGGTATGTTAGGTAACGTTGGCTTATACAACACCTGTTTTTACTGACACCTTTGGTCATATGTAAAATGCTAATAGAGCTTATGCATATTTAGCATTTGTTTTGATTATGGTATAATGTGTTTACTGATTTAAAACTTTCACACCATTTGAGTTGATGATTTAGAAAGAGAATTAGAAGCATTATTTACTACTTCGGGGAGGGCCTCAACAAAGTGAGCCACTGCCTGTAGGGTCTGTCCACGGCACCTTAATGTCTTAGCAAGGAGTGGGGCTCAGGTGGAGTAGAGGAGACAGCTGACTGCTGGAAGCCCCGGTGGCACTGGATGCAGGGCTCCTCGGCTTCCCTAGGCCTCGTGCCTAGGGTGAAGCAGGCATGCTCTGGGTGCTTTTCTGGACATTGGGGCTTGTGTCAGCTCCCGCTAGTAGCATGCTCTTGGCCTTTTCCTTGCTTATTAGATCTGACCTGCGAGGTGGAATGCATATACTTCCTCGGTACTGTATTTCAGTAGCTCTACTAAATGAGTTGAGGGATAGTGAGATTAGACTGTTCTCCTGTTGGTCTCAATAAGGACACTTTTCTTGAGGGTTTACTTTTTAAAGGGAAGGAGTGGTGTGTGTTAATGTGCACCCTTGTATGGTGTGGTGGGATCAGGAGCACTGGTTTCCAGACCAGCCAGATCCTAACAAGTAGGTAAAGATTTAATTCTATAAATTGAACAAGCTTTGACTAGTTGATAATACCAACAGGGCCCACACAACTTAAATCTCCTCACTGCAGCCCAGTTAAATAAATAACGGAGCTCTTTAGCCTTCTGACAGTGAGTCCTATCTATAAGAGCTTCATAGAGTGGCCTCCCTGACACGTGAGGTTCATTATGGGAGCCTTTTTTTGTTGGGGGGAGGGATGGGGGGAGTGGTCAAGATTAAAAACAAAAAATCTCTAACATCTGTTCTTCTGTGTGCTTAGAAAAATTCTGATTAGACAGCAGCTTATAAGCCTGGACGCCCCCCTGGTATGGGCCTGGGAGAATGGGGTCTGAAGGACATTTTCCATTGCAAAACTTTTCTTAGGGTGAACATACACTTAACTGTGAGTCACTAGGAACAGTCTACAAACACATCTTTGGGCAAAAACTCATTGAGCAGGTGCCAGGGCCAGGTCTGGGTAGCAGTTTCCTGCCCCCATTGAGGAACCTCCCTGCCAGCACCCTGCCTGGGCACTGGGCCTGGATACTGGGAGAGCTCTGGCTGACACACAGTGCAGCAAAGGGTCCCTGGAGTGTGGTGGACGGGGACTGATTTGCTGGCGGAACTTTGGCAGCATTTAGGCTCGGAAAGAGCAGGGACTTTTAAAGCCAGCGGAGATATAGACTCAATGGCATTCCATATGGAGCGGTTTGCAAGTCTGAATCTGTGACCCCAAAAGGTAGTGGTTGTGGGGGGAAGGAGGGATCACCCCACCGCTTCAAAGGAAATAGACCACCACATGGTAGTCAGGGGCTGGCAGGTGGTTCAGATTGCTTTTAGCTAGCCGATCCTACCCATGACCCCCCCCAATGGGGAGCCGCATGGGCAGCTGCTGTGACCTCTCCAGACTTGTAGTTGTCCGTGGCGACGATGGTCCAGACCTGTCCCTGCTGTTCTCATTCTCACGCAGCGTGGTTGAACTTGGCTTAGTTTTTCAGCTGGGGACAAGTGTGTCTACCAAGGCGCTGCTGCTCCTTCATCCCAAAGCACACTAAATCAGCCTGCATGTGAAGGCAGGGTTTTCTAAGAGTAGGAAGACTGTACGTTGGGAACAGCAAGATTTATATGAGAGTCAGAGAAAGAGTGTTTGTGTACATGTTCCATAGATCAAGAATTTGCCCATACTGTCTGGCACTCTTTAAGAGGACAAATATCCTCATCAAACATGGATTAAGGGCAAAAGATAACCAGCATGAAAGCCTGTCAGAGGGCTGCCCTGAGCATTGCCAGAAGTTCCTATGTTCCCATGGGAACATGACTGTGGGTGAGGGCGTTACACCCAGAGTTCCTGGAAGACAACCACAAATCAAGGAGATAAGAATTCTTAAATCCTCTATTTTCAAAAGTTTAGCTTTTCTGACATTTTCTTCTTTTAAAAATGTGGATAGACTTTTTATTTCAGAAGTACAGGCTTACTCAGAAGAGCTTTAACAACTTCTGCCATATTTTTGGAAGAGGGTAACCTAAAGTTAAGGTAGAAGAAAGGAAGAAAAGAAATGTGGCAGGCGTGGTCTGTGGAGTAGAAGGCATGTTTAAAGTACATGCGGCTGGATGGTCAGCAAGCAGGGATACTCGGCTTACGTGGGCAATGCTGTTTGGAGAGTGAAAAGAGGTTATTTTGCGTACACGGTATTTTCATGTCCATATTTGTTCGCATTTCACCTGGGTGACATTTGCCTCTAGTTGTTTCCTCTCCTTCCCTGCCTTCGTCCCTCCCTCCACAATACACTTTTCCTTTTGGAGGAGTACCCTGTGTGCACCCTCTTCATGCAGCCACATTTTGTCATGATGCACTACTGACCTATTGTTTTAGACCATATTTTACAGGGACAAGTGACTAGTCCCAAAGCATCGGCTGGTCTTTCTCTGTCACCAGCTGATGCTGGGCGTGGGAAAGCCAGTGGCCGGCTGATGAGTGGCACAGGCCCTTCTGGAGAGAGGTCTCCTTTTCAGGCTGCCTTAGGACCCTGAAGAGCATATATTCTCTGATTTTGGTTTACATCTGAGTTTTAGGGAACATATGTATAAAATAAAGAATAAAATTGAAGAACTGAGCCCATTTCAGCTAGCTCTTGTCTTGCTTCAGACGAGGTGGGCTAGGGATGGCACAGGTAAACTTAGCTCATCCTTCTGTGTCTTTTTAAGTGTGTTTGTCAGGAGAACAGTACAGTTCTGTCATGAGTTGGGAAACTAAGTGCAGTGATGGCTGTTGAAGTCGAGCGGCATGGTGGGAGGTGGCAGCTGAGGTGCTACAGCTGGTGCCGTGGAATTGAGGCCCTTCGCTGATCTTAGGCTTGGCTTTGCACGAAGGGCTGGAGCTGTAAGGTCCAGTTGTCTAGTCAGCGGTGACTGTCTGGGACCTGCCGAATTGTTGACAAGGGCTGAGTGGCAGGTGGTTTGTTCCAGCCTTCATCAGTATGCAATGCAGAGTTGTGTGCTCCTTGGAGGCCCTGCCCCTGGGCTCCTTCTCACCATCGCAGGTCAGCCAGAGTGGCTGAGGTTCCAGGCGCCTGTGGCTCACGCCTGTCATCCTAGGTACTCAGGAGGCTGAGATCTGAGGATCATGGTTCAAAGCCAGCCTGGGCAGGAAAGGCTGTGAGACTCTTATCTCCAATGAACCACCAGAAAACCAGAAGTGGTGCTGTGGCTCAAGTGATAGAGCGCTCGCCTTGAGCTGAAGAGCTGAGGGACAGCGTCCAGGCCCAGAGTTCAAGCCCCACAACTGACCCCCCCCCCCAAAAAGTGTCTGAGGTGTACTGATGGAGGGTACTGGTGATGTGTATTGGTGGCGTGTACTGGTAGTGTGTACTGATGGCATATACTGGTGGCGTGTACTGGTGGCATTGTACTGGTGGTATATACTGATGGTGTGTACTGGTGGTCTCCTACAGTTCCTGTGCAGTTGATGGGCGATAAACCAAAGGTCTGATTTCCTTCTGTTTCAATCTGTTATGTTGTCGTAATTCATTTTCTTAACAAATTGCAGTTATGTTTATGTGTCTGTGAGGGGCAACTTTAGGGCGGAAAGGGCTCCTGGAGTCAGCTGGCTCAGGCTTTATTTTGTCACATAGTAGCTCGATGGCCTTAACATTTCTGTCTCAATTTCCAAGTTTATAGTGTGAGTAATAATTCTTAGCTTGCCTGATTTTTGTAAGGATTGAAATAATGAAATGAATGTACCATTTCTCTTAGTGAATGCTTGAAAACAAATAGCAGTATGATAGAGAGGTTCCACTTCTAGAGCTCTTCGCGTCAGGGAGACAGACCGCTAGGTGAAGGGTGGGAATGGCGCCACTTGCAGTGGCAGCGCATGAGCAGGTGGCGTGGAGCACAGTCTACCCGCACACTCACGCCATGCCAGAGACTAGTCCTCGTCCCTTCTGTGATTGTGCAAGGCTTTTGAGAGGATGAGGACTCTGTGCAGCTGGCCACAGAACCAGTGGGGAAGGGAAGCAAGCAGTTGGCCCTGAGGAATTGAGTATGAGCCCTGGGTCCAAGATGATAGGGTCTGTCCCTTGAAGAGCTCTCCTCATCTGTGTTGCTTCTTGTGCGCTGCTTCCCTGCTTCAGTTACACACTTGAAAATTTTGTCTTGTTCTTTATCATTTGGTAAGCAAATATCAAGAGCACAGAAAAACAAATTTAAATTTCAAACAAGAGGAAAGAAAAGGAATACAAATTCCTCATCCAGTTCTACAGTGTTTAGACAATTTACAGAGTATTATCTATAAAGGTGTTTTATAGACTATTTCCCATTATGTTCTGGTTATCATTTGGATCTTTTGAAGCTGTCACGTAGAAATTCTGAGATCTTGAGGGCACCTCAAGATCCTTTCACATCTGTTTATTGCCTTCAGGGGAACAAAAAGCCAAACCCGAAATTTCCCTTCCAGTCTTAAAGACTTACTAAGGCACCATATTATAGGTTTAAAAAGCAAGACTATGAACACCATTTCAAAACGAGGAGAACTGTTGTCTGTGTGTATTGAACAGCAGAGAGAAGCCGGTGTGATGGGGATTGCCGCGTCCTGTCAGGACACTAATGCTCACCTCTAGACCATTCTTCCACACACTTGAGCAGTGTTTATGATCCTGTATGAAGATAACTGCATCGCAACGATTCCCAAAATAAGCTTAGGAGATGGGAATTCACTGATAGAGCTTTGTGTTGGCTCTACTCACAGCCTAATCATTTGTAGTATCTGACCACATTAATGACCGAGGTCCCTTCTGTGTTCTATCATAGTCTAGTACCGAGAGTTTTTCTTTTGAGGATCTCTCATTGATTTTTCTCATTGTATTTCTGTAGCCAGATTAAGTCAAATTCATGTTCACAAGAATAGCCAAAGAAATTAAGAACTGGTGACTGAAAAGCTAAGAAAACAATTTCAAATCAAACAATACAGGCTAGTGCCTTTACTCCTACATTTCTTTGTTTTTAGGAAGGAAGAGTACCCGTATCTAAACTGTGTCCATGTCTTTCCCCACAGCTTGCTGATGACCGAATGGCCCTGGTATCAGGCCTCAGCTTAGACCCAGAAGCAGCAATCGGTGTGACAAAACGCTCCCCACCCAAGTGGGTGGATGGAGTGGATGAGGTGGGTCAAGGGCTAAAGTTACTAAGCTGGAATAACAGTGTATTTTAAGATGTCTTCCATTGAAACTAACTTGGCTGTGCTTGTCCCAAGCTATATGGGAGCTTTGGTCCATCCATTTTATATCAAACAGGGAAAGCTTTTGTGCGTGTGTGACAGGGTGCTGAATGACTGGGTTGAGTTTTATCCTTGGTAGCCACTACCTGAGTCATAGAAATGTAAACCTTGTACAACCTCGAAGAGTTTGTCCTGGTAATTGGAATTACAGTTGTTCATCTGGGTGAGCCGGCAGGTTACCTGTGTATTCTGAGTGTAGCTAATTGTCTCTTGGAGGCCGACTGAAACATGCCAGGCGTGAGTGGAGTTGTGGTGACTTCATTTGTCTAGATACAATATGATGTCGGGCGAATTAAGCAGAAGATGAAGGAGCTAGCCAGTCTGCACGACAAGCATTTGAACAGACCCACCCTGGATGACAGCAGCGCCGAGGAGCGCGCCATCGAGATAGCCACGCAGGAGATCACGCAGGTGAGGGTGCGGGCGGAGCCCCCGGCGCGGCAGCTCGGCCCGGCCCGCAGCTCGCCCGCAGCTCGGGCGCGCGCCTGACGCCTTTCTCAGCGGGGCGGGGAATCGCTCGTCCAGTTATTGACGGATGCTACTAACCGATTAGTTAAATGAGAATGAAGTTCAGAATAGGGATGCATTTATTCAGCCGGTTTTAACCGTAGCTTCCATCATACGTAGTGCCGACAGTTACAGTGCTCATGACTGAAAAGCAGCCTAGTGTCGTGGGAGGTTTTCTTGCTCATAACCCCGCGGTTAGCAGTTCGGCTGCGTGCGTCTCCTGGGTTCTCATAACCAGGCCCAAGCCGGGTGTCCCATCGGAGCAGTGGGGACGGCAGCGGGGAGGAGGGACCCCTGGGGAGGAGAGCTGGGGGGGCGCCGGGGTCTGCCCTGCCCCGCCCCGCCCTCCTCAGCTTTTCCACAGGTGCCAGTGCACTGTGTGGGCCCCGCCCCAGCCCCGCCCCCTCAGCTCTTCCATAGGTGCCAGTGCATGTGTGAGCCACGCCCCTGCCCCGCCCCCTCAGCTCTTCCATAGGTGCCAGTGCATGTGTGGGCCCCGCCCCTGCCCGCCCCCTCAGCTCTTCCACAGGTGCCAGTGCACTGTGGGCCACGCCCCTGCCCCGCCCCCTCAGCTCTTCCACAGGTGCCAGTGCATGTGTGGGCCCCGCCCCTGCCCCGCCCCCTCAGCTCTTCCATAGGTGCCAGTGCACTGTGTGGGCCCCGCCCCTGCCCCGCCCCCTCAGCTCTTCCATAGGTGCCAGTGCATGTATGGGCCACGCCCCTGCCACGCCCCCGCCCTGAGCCTGCCCTTCTCTCAGCTCTTCCACAGGTGCCAGCGCGCGGTGCGGGCACTGCCCAGCCGGGCCCGCCGGGCGCGCACGGAGCAGGAGGAGCGGCTGCTGCGCAACGTGGTGGCCTCACTGGCGCAGGCGCTGCAGGAGCTCTCCACCGGCTTCCGGCACGCGCAGTCGGGCTACCTGAAACGTGAGTGGAGACCCCACCTCGCCCGGGAGGCCGGGCCCCATTCCGAGTAGCCCTCCGCGGGGCACCCAGCCGGGCCCAGCCCGTGGAAGCCCCCAGCGCGTTTAGCACACGCAGTGGCTTCCAAACGTCACCAGCCAGGTATGGGCGCCGGGGCGCCGTGGCCGTCCAGGGCAGAACCTCCCCTCTGACTGGGGTCGCCTGTGGTCGCGTAGCCGATGCTCCCCAACCCCAGGCTCCCCTGACGACTGCTGCGTTCGCGTTTTAATTTGATTTAAACTTCGATTGGGGCCCTGTGGAGTTTTGCCAGAGATGCTCCTAGAGAGAAACACAGGTTTTTTCCTCTTTTTGGACATGTTTTGTAACTGTCGCAGAGATTCGGGTGGTTGTGTCATTTTGTCTCGGCATCAAGTGAATTGTACAGTTAGTGTGACTTGGTCTTGAGTAACTCGCAGGCTCGCATAGTGCTGCATGTCTAGCCGCATTCCTCTCTCCTTCCCCGGAGATGAGGTCTCTAAACTGCTCGGGAGACCTCCACTTTGACTGTTGAGTTTTACTCTAGATCTTCCCTTTTTAATGGTGGAACAGTAACCAGGATGGTCTCCATACTGGAGTAAAGTGGATTCCTATCTATGATAGGCATGAAGAACCGGGAGGAAAGAGCGCAGCATTTTTTTGATACATCAGTACCACTAATGGATGATGGAGGCGATAATACTCTGTACGACCGGGTATGTGAAGGGCTGCGAACGCGGCTGCTGTCGGTGTATTCGCACTCCGTTCTGCTTCCCTCTCCCCAGACCTCCAATCCTGCGGAGCACACTGCTGCCTGTCTAGCCAGTAGTCTTTGCGACAGGCAGAGGGCAGCCATACTGTTTCTTCTTTTCCAAAGCCACAGAGAGGCCTTGGGGAAGCAGGGCCTGTCCCACTTTGGTGGGAAGAACCCTGAGGAGCACAGGGCCATCCCTGAACCCTTGCATGGCTTCAGACAAGGGCTAAGCTCAGCACCCTTGCTTGGGCTGCGGTGCTGCACATGCCGCTGCTTTGGGAAATTGGGGCCTTTCCTGTCAGGAAAAATACATGCTTATTACCATCCGCGTTTCAGAAGCCCCATTCTCCAAATGGCCTCCAGTGGCCTGAGCGTCCTGACAGCACTCTGCACTGTTGTCTTGCCAGGGCTTCACAGAGGACCAGCTGGTACTGGTGGAACAGAACACTCTGATGGTGGAAGAGCGGGAGCGGGAGATCCGCCAGATCGTGCAGTCCATTTCTGACCTGAATGAGATCTTTAGGGACTTAGGAGCCATGATTGTAGAGCAGGTACGCAGGGGGTCCTCCGGGTCCAAGGTTCTTTGATCTTGTAGGCCTCATGAGTGTATGTTTGTGTGTGTGTGTGTGTGTGTTCAGATCATCTACTTAGGTTATTAACATTTCCCATAAAATATGAATAAGCCTTTTCTCAAGATTAAAAAAAGAGAAGAGGGTCTGAGCATCTCTGTCCTGCCTCGAAGAGCTGTGTGAGCACTCTGGAGGCCTGGCTGATTTTCACCAACCCCAGCACTGAGTCTGGCCATACTGAAGATCTCCTTTCTCATTTTGGCAGCTTATTGTGTAATGGCAATTGAAACTACTAGCTTTCTAGTAGAATTAAATTGTTATCCACTGTTAGAATCTGATTAGAGCATGTTATTTTCTTGCCTGAGGGGCTTGGGACCTGGTCTCCTTGAAACCAGCTGCAGGATGGAGTGTTGGTTGTGAGCTCCAATGAACTCTGCCTCTCCTAGGCTGCCATGTTTCACTGAGAACCTGTCCTCCCTGCAGCCCAGTGCTTCCATCTTCCCACTGGAACTAGGAGATTAAACAATTGGACATTTCTTCACAAGACCCCAGCCTTTTCATTTTAGATGGATTGGACGTCCCCGGGCTCTCTCCCTACCCATGGAGCACCTTGCTTCCATTGGTAGCCTTAATAGTTTGCGGACCTGATCATCGCTTTCCTCTTCCAAGTATTTAAGCAGGGAGTGGGCACTGACGCTGGCCCTTTGCTGCACACAACCTGTTTCCACTGAACCATGTATTTTTTTTCTTTTTTTTTTTTTTTTGTTGGTCATGGGGCTTGAACTCTGGGCCTGGGCGCTGTCCCTCGGCTCTTAAGCTCAAGGTTAGATAGTTCTCTCTATCCCTTGAGCCACAGTGCCACTTCCAGTTTTCTGAGTGTATTATTGGAGATAAAAGTCTCACAGACTTTCCTGCCCGGGCTGGCTTTGAGCCAAGCAATCCTCAGATCTCAGCCTCCTGAAGAGCTAGGATTACAGGTGTGAGCCACCGGCGCCCGGCTGAACCACGTATTTTTTTTAAGCCCCAGTAGGTTTGAATAGAGCAGATCCCATAGAGGGTAAGTCCAAAAATGAAAGCTCAGTTTGCCAGTGTTGGCCTCTCCCGGGCTCTGCATCACTGCAGGGCACAGTGTTCGGGTCAGCCGGAGGAGGGTGAGGCTGGCACCCATGCTCCCCAGCACAGGTGTTGATCATCTGTAACTCTTGTTTGTCACTCAGGGTACAGTCCTTGATAGAATCGACTATAACGTTGAACAGTCCTGTGTTAAAACTGAAGATGGCTTGAAACAGCTTCACAAGGTAACGACGTCTGTCCGCGGTTGAGAATGTTAGAAACAGGAATCAAATCACAAGAATTCCGAGGGTTCTCTTCATACTTGTCTTAGCACTGGAGCCGACTCAGCTCTCTACGCAGCAGTGTAACGATGTCCACCATTCTTTGCAGTCAGGGTATAGCCAGTGAGGTGTAGCTCACTGTGCTGTGGGTCACCCTCTATGCCTTCTTCATTCTTTTTTTCTCTTCTTATTGGGGGTCAATTGGAGTTTAGAAGAAACATGAATTGCTGACTCGGTCCTCCCTGAGGAGGAGCCTTCTAGATTTCTCTCTAACTGCAGATCTGCCTCACCTCCAGAGCAAAGGTCTGCAGGTGCTCTCTTGTGTGAATGAAGTGAGTGATGTGGCTCCTGTTCTCTCCTGAGCAGCATTCTCTCTCTCTCTCTCTCTGGCTTTTGAAGTCAGTGGTTGTGTTCTTTCTCATGTTAATCAACTGAGTAGTGTTCTCTTGTTAATGAAGTTAGTAGTAGTCGGGACACTGTGTGTTAATGGTGTGAGTAGTTTAGTGCTCTCTCATTAATGAAGTGAGTGGTAGTGTTACAGAAGAGATCATAAGTGTTCTCTCTAGGGTTAATGAAGTTAGTGGTAGTTCCTGCTTTCTCGTATGTTAATTAGTGAGTGGTAGTGTTGCCTTGTTAATAGAGATTCCTGGTCAGTGTTTTCACTTCTATTGGTGAATTGAGTGGTAGTTAGCCATCTCTAGTGTTAATGAGGTAAGTAGTGGTTAGTGCATTTCTTGTTGTAATGGGGTTCCCATTTCAGGGTGCTTTCTATTTCTGATTTTTTTTTTAAAATCATCTTTGAAACGTTGTAATTGGGAGAAACATTTATAAACTTACAAGTTTATTGTATTGGGTACAATATTGGGTACATATTTCCTTCAAGACAATGTAATAATTCTTCAGGATAAACTGACTACTTCCCTGTGTGGTTGATTCCCATTGTATTTCTAGGGTTCTAATGAGCATTTTCCCAGTTCACTAAGGTGTCTGAAACTAGCTGTGTTCTTAGCAGAGATTATGCTGGGTAATAGTGTCAGGGTTAGTGTCCAGCCTGGCAGGAGATTGTGCCAGGTAATAGTGTCAGGGTTAGTGTCCAGCCTGGCAGGAGATTGTGCCAGGTAGTAGTGTCAGGGTTAGTGTCCAGCCTGGCAGGAGATTGTGCCAGGTAGTAGTGTCAGTGTTAGTGTCCAGCCTGGCAGGAGATTGTGCCGGGTAATAGTGTCAGGGTTAGTGTCCAGCCTGGCAGGAGATTGTGCCGGGTAATAGTGTCAGGGTTAGTGTCCAGCCTGGCAGGAGATTGTGCCGGGTAATAGTGTCAGGGTTAGTGTCCAGCCTGGCAGGGCTGAGCAGAAATCCTTGGTTGTCTTCCCTGTGCGGTCCTGCAGTGGGAACGAGCCCGGCTCTTATGGGGAAGTCTTGCTTGATGTGCAGAGACAGCTTGAGTACTTAGATTAACTTGATTGCCAAGCCCTGGGCACCAACAGTGTTAACTAACTTGCATGTCTCTCTTTGCAATAACCAGATTTGATATATAGCTGAGTTATGCATTGGTTTGTAGGTTCTTAAATAAAACCTAGTGAAATATGTTTTGCATGAAACAGACAAATGAGAAGGCGTCTGCAGAAGTGAACAAATGTAGTGGGAACTAGAAGTTCTGCTTTAGTTTTTACACCGTGAATCATTTTGAGCCAGTTTCAGGGTGCTGCTTGCTGTTGGTCTGTGGTGCCCAGGGCTTCTCCTGCAGAAGGGAACTGCACCCTGGGGCAGACCACTCCTCTGAGGGGGGCTGAGAGGTGCTCCCTGATTGTTCCTCATTGTGGTGCTCCCGCTGCTGCCTACTCCCCTGTAAAGCGGGGCCTCCCGCTCTGGGCTGGTGGGCATAGAGATGAAGCTGAGTCACCAGTCAGAAGGCTGGTGGGTCACAAAAGAGGACAGACGAGGCTGATGTTCCCGGCAGGCATCCTCCTCCGGAACCCCCCAGAAGCTCTGCTGTCGTTCAAGGGTCTGTGTCTATCTGGTGAACACTTGTTCCCAGGCACAGGGCTCTTCCTGAGAAGCCTGGGTGGGGAGAGCAGATGCCCCTGGGTCTTTGGCATCTCTTTGCTTTGTCCCAGCAGTGAGGCCAGCATGTCGCTGGTGGAGCCCTGCGCGGTGCCAATGGTTCACTCTGAGGGAGGCTTGGTGTTTTGGTAGTGTGGCCTGGCCCCAGCAGAGACGCCAGTCCCTGCAGAAGGCCAGTGCCTCGTGCTAGACACCGGAGGTGGCTTGGGGTTCTCGGAAAGTGACTGCGTTTTCTCCTCTTTCTGTAGGCAGAGCAGTACCAAAAGAAGAACCGGAAGATGCTTGTGATTTTAATATTGTTTGTCATCATCATTGTCCTCATTGTTGTCCTGGTCGGCGTGAAGTCTCGCTAGTGGCGCTGGGCTATTGTGCAGGCGGCGTGGACTCCCCGGGTGTGGGGGCTTGGCGGTCTCACCCTCAGCGCTGCTGGCAGGGTGCACCCAGCCAGGGCCGGGCCGGGCCGGGCCAAGGCGGGTCCCACCTTCCTAAAGATGCCTCCTGACGCGCAGGCGCGGGCCTATGTTTCCATCAGTGTTGAGGTTAAGGATGGTGATACTGCTGCAGAAGAGATATTGATCGGTTCTGTGATCACTTATATATATATATATATATTTTTTTTTTCTTTAGAAAGTGAAATGAGTTTAAAGTTTACAGGCGCTGCTGCTGAGGCTGCTTGGGGTTATTTGTGTATATGCTATTTTTTTTTTAAGCAGTCTTGTCTGAGCAGCATGTCAAAACAATTTTGGGGGAAAATTTTTTTAAGCCATTTGGTTTTTAAGAAGTTTGGTACCAAAAATGTTTGCGTAGAGGCAAAAATGCCTCTTCAAATCTTCCTCTTCTATTTTTTTTGTTGTTGAAAACAAACCTAGAAGTCCTTTAAGAAACATACAATTCATTAACTTAATTTAGCTTTTCCATTGCTGTTAATGATCAGAGTAACAAAGTGTGAGAAATAAGAAACCATCATTGATGTTAATTAACACATTTAGATAGTCCAGTTAAAACAGCTTCATAAGTTTAAATTAATTGTAAATAGAGTGTTCCTCATTTAAAATTTTTGCACTGCATTTTCTACTGTAAACCAAAAGGAGTTGTTACTAAGCAAAACCACCTAAATTTACAAGTTGGTGATTTGAGCCAGACTCACACTGAAAGGAGGCCTGCTGATGTCCTGGCCCGCCTGTGTCCCGGCACTGCCAGACCCAGGCGGGTGCTCTGCCCTACCCACAGCCTCCATCCTTACCGTGTGCTAGCTACATAAGTCTCCATTTAATGAACTGTGAATTCACACCGAGGCCACTTTGAGGGGGTCATCCATTTAAAATCTCAGATTATTAACCAAACAGCACTCCATTTCAGAGTACTCGTGCTTTCATGTATTGGCTCTTCCGTTATCACTTAGTAATGCCCAGAATGCAGGCTTGTCCCGAGGGCTGGAAAAGCCCTTGCTGGTGCGAGCCTGGGTCAGATCCCCAAGTGGGGCGTGGCCTTATACCTCCCCATCACCCCCGTGGTGCTTGAGGCCCCTTCAGTAACTGGAGGGAGGCGGACTGTGGTACAGCCTTGAAAACGCAGCTAGCCCTGTGCGGATGGACACGGTACAGTGTTAGTGGTCTTCTGTGTACATTTTGATGAGTGTATTGTTTGTATCTTCAAGGTGCGGAAGGAGCGCGGCCGCCCTGTTAAGCATGTCATGTTTTCTTTGGCCCAGCTGCACACAATGCCTCTCCAGAGCCAACTGCTGGGGCTTCCAGAATTCACACTAAAATCTGGAGACAAGTCCCCCAGGCAGGCCCGTCCCTGTGGTCCCTGCCCCGTGGTTTCAGTAGCCTCGGGGCTGGGTCGGTGCCTTCCCCAGGTGCCTAGAGTCATGTGGCTCTGGGCCCCTTCAGAGCCAGCGCTGACTTGAATGCAGTGGTCGTCGGGTGGTGGCAGTTGGGTCAGCTGCTACCAAGAGTGGACCTGGTCAGACGAGGGGCCTCCTCAAGATTCACAGGCCATTCAGGGTTATGGTTAAAGCCTTGGACGAGCAGTGGCCGTCAAAGAGAAGTCAGGGTCACCGTCCATTTGTGTCTATTCTCCCACCTCACCGCAGACCCCTGCTGCGTTTGATCTGACGTTGTCTCAGGCCCTCTGTGGAGACGGCGAACCTTCCCGTCTCCATCACTGTAGTGCTGGCCAGCTGATGGGACCCGCAGTCTGGCCCAGGGCCCAGCACGGACTGGTTGGGTTCCTCAAACTACTGCATTTGTCTTTAGAGCCTGTCCTTGGACAAGAGGCAGTGGCATTTGAGGATGGCAGGGAAGACGGCACTCCTGGCTTGGCACCTCAGGAAGAGAAGGAGGGCCATCCTGCCCTTCAGACTCCTGAGCCAATCTCACCTGCACCTGGGCAGTGTCCTCAGAGAAGAGACCTCGCTTTGGGGGCTCACTGCGGGCACCCTGGGGCCCAGCCCTGGACACAAACTGGCCTGGAGTGACTCCTGTCTAGTGGAGCAGGGGAGAGAAATGGCGGCGTATATTCCAGGCTCCCAGCTCCGGGTTGCTGTCTGTCTGTCTGTCTTTCTGTTCATCTTGGGGGGTGGGGAGTACTGGCTGGGCCGGGCTGTGTGAAGCAGTGTGTCTCTAATTTAACGGATGTACCGCTTTCTCCGCTAATTGAGAGAGCATTATTTATTTGTTTTGACACAAGTGCTTGCAGTGTTTTATCTCAGCTAATGGCTTCTTAAAGGTAATAAAACCCTTCAACCTAATTGGTCAGGTTAGACTTTTTTTCCTCTTGTATGCTTAAATAAAGCAATTAGTGAAGCGCTTCTATCCAAAATGACTTTCTTTTTTTTTTGTCCCTTTTTAAAAAACTAATTTACTGTTACTGGAAACTTTTTGTACAATAAAGCAGGCGTTCAGATGACAGAACATCCTGGGATCCTAGTATTCATTCTAATGATGGATTTGTGTTTTCTTCCAATTCATTTGGGTTGGGGAGGGCCTGGGCAGGTCTGGACTCCGTGGGGTCTTTTTGTTTCATTCCATGTCTGAAGGCTGACCCCTCTAGTCGTACTGTGGAGGGACAGTTCTGTTTGCTATCTACCTTCCAAATAGGGAGACTGCTTCAAAGACGGACAGTTCTCTTTCTTGATGATGACACAGGCTGCGTGTACATCCTGGGAAGCATTTAGTAATGCTCACAAGTCATTCTAGCCACTGGCCTCAGCCACGCCCTCCTCAGTGCCTTTGATGTCTTCAGTCCTGCCATCCAGCTGTCAGCCCACTCAGGCCAAGCAAGCTCTCCTTCCTTAGTCATGAGCACTGACCCTCCCCCACACATACACTTGCGGGGAGATAGGGTCATCCGTGTGGTTTGTGTCTCTGTAGTTATACATCAGAGTCGGAGGAGAGGGACCCGCTGTGTGTGGAGTCCTGAGATACTGACAGGACCAGCAGCGGGGGCTTCGAGAGGGGCTCCCTCCTAACTCCCCTCCTGGCATCTTTTACTAGAAATTGTGCCCCCCCCCATCTTAGCTCTGAGAACGAGGTTCAAGAATATCCAGACCAGTGGCAGTGATGTTAGTGAAGCCCTGTGTCTTGAAAGCGGTGAACATGTAGGCTGTGTATGCTGTGTGGTTCTTCTTGTTGGTTTGAGACAGAGTCTTGCTGCATAATCCAGGCTGGCCTCAGCCTCCTATGAGTTTGGGTTGCTGATCTGTTCCACCATGGCTTGCTCTGTGTGTGTGGCTCTTCGGTGGGAGCCACTCCACTTACACGTTGACAGTCTGCCTGCTCTGTTGAAGCGGCACCGTAAGAGTTGTGCGGATAGAGTCCATGCAGTCCCGTTGTGCAGGGGCTCTGAAGACTTGGAGCTGGCTGGAAGGGGAGGCCTTGCGTCCCCCATGAATGCTCGCCTCCATGGCAGAACAGGCTGGCAGAGAGTTACTCGGCTAAATGAAGTCCACTCATAACACCAAGCTGGGAATGATCATCCCTGTCTGTCTGCTCTTGTGTGGTCACAGCAAGATGACTTCCCTGGTCTGCACACGAGTAGAAGCCTGAGACAGCCTGGCCCTGCATCTGCCTGGTGAACACTGGCCTCTCTTCCTCCTGTCAAACCATGCGAAACCACCTGAAAGACCTTTGCGTGGAAGGGGTCAGTCCTCAGTTGGCTGTAGGGAGCACAGGACAACACTAAAAATCCTGATTTATTCATTAGTCTTGGGAAGTTCCAGCCTAAGGTTTTGGGAGGCAGACTGATTGATTTGTCTGGTCTTGGGTATGTTCGCTAGAAGCTTGCGCCCGAGTTGTTTATCTGTGTTTATTGACTCTTAGGAATGCCAGGTTTTCTCCAAATTCTCTTGGCCACCCACATGCCACCTCTAACCTTGGGCCTGGTGTTTTGTTTAGTTCTGTTTTGAACGTGAGGGAACACAGACCTTTCAAGTTGACAGCTCTCAGGGTGAGCTGACAGGGGTCCTTGGGTGGGCGTACAGAGAGATTCTCAGCTCTGGTACAAGTGTTTCTGATATGGTGCTCAGAGTTGATGCCAGCCACCCACTCCATCCCCAACCCCACACCTTCAGATGGATGTCACCATACCAGTCTTTGCCTGAGTTTCCTTACCACACAAAGGGACATTCCACAGAGCCAAATGGCAGAGACTTGTGCACAATTATCTGGTCAATTGAGGCAAAAGAAAATAATCATTTGTCCAATTGTCCAAATTAGCTCTCTGGACTGTCCTGAATGCTTGGGATAATTACACAGTTCTCTGTAATCTGGCTAAAATGGACCATTTAGATGAAGCTTCATTCAACACAATGCACATTTAAATCAGGCTTGGCTAAAATAGACCACTGGGTTTAGCATTTTCTGTTTGTCAACTATAATTTTATAATTGCTTTTAGCTAATCGTCCAAATTCCGCCATTAGGAATCAGGATCTCTCCCGTAGATGCAGTGGAGGCGAAGGGCTCTGTTGTGCTTCACTGCTTTTTCTCGGAGAAAGAGCTGCGGGAATCAAATGTGCTTTTTTAACTTGCTGTTTCTGACCCAGGGCCTCTAATAGACTCCCATTTTCATCAACTGCAGGGTTCAGAGATCACCCCCACCCCAGCAGAGCCTCCCCCTCTTCTAGATAGGGAAACTGAGACTGGTAGCCTATGTTTATCAAGGTCACACACTGAGTTAACTCAGGCTAGAACTAGGATCACCAGCTTTCTAATTTCCAGGCTAGCATT